GATAAGCAGCTAAACCTTTGGCATGGTTTTTAATTCCTAGCCTGCACTGACCTCCAGCCAACGTTTTTTATTTACTCTTAATTTTTCTTACTTATTTGTTCGTTTATTTTTTAAATTTAAGTAGGTTCCACACACCCAGCGTGGAGCCCAATGCAGGGCTTGAACTCACGACCCTGAGATCCAGACCTGAGCTGAGATCGAGTCGATGCTTAACCGACTGAGCCCCCCCCCGGGCGCCCCAGCCAACTTTTTTACTCTAGGGAAGAGCTCTACAAAAATATGGTGGCTTGTTTCTGAAAGAAAGTTTTCTTGAAACAGTCATAGCCATTCATTTATATATTGTCTTTGGTTGCTTTCTGAGTACAACAGCAAAGTTGAGGAGTTGTAACAGAAAATGTTTACTCTTTTTTAAGAAAAAGTATGCTGAGCTCTGAACTGAGACAAGTACCTGTTGGTTTGAGGGAGCCACAGTCAGAACAAAGAAAAGATGTAGAATGCCAAAGAAATTTATCCACATTGTTTTTGCCTGTTCCTGACTGAATGCCCAATTAGGTGTGGGTCAGAAATATTTTTGACTGGTTGTCTCACATTGTGAACTCAGGAAGAAGATAATCCAGTGGATCATGTTAGCAACCCATTCCGCTTAAAACACCCAAATATTTAGGTAATGAGGTTGTGAGTGATAGTGTTATTTTTAATTTTGTAAGTGTAGTTTAAAACTTTATTGGGAGGGGCACCTGGGTGGCTCAGTCGTTAAGCGTCTGCCTTCGGCTCAGGTCATGATCCCCAGGGTTCTGGGATCGAGTCCCACACAGGGCTCCCTGCTCGGTGGGAAGCCTGCTTCTCCCTCTGCCACTCCTCCCACTTGTGTTCCCTCTCTCGCTGTCGGATAAATAAAAAAAATCTTAAAAAAAAAAAATTAAAACTTTATTAGGGGTACCTGGCTAGCTCCGTTTGAAGAGCATACGACTCTTGATCTCAGGGTAGTGAATTTGAGCCCCACATTGGGTATAGAGATTACTGAAAAAAATAAAACTGTTCGTTAGCTAGTGAAGTACTACAAGTTCTCACTTGTTTTCATGATAGTATTTCATTGAAGCTTTATGGTAGAATTTCTCAGGTATAAAAATCTAGGAACATAATACATTTTTAGCAATTTACTTAAAAATTTATTAGGACCGTCAGCATAGGACTGTTGTGAAATACTAGTTTTTAGACTTTGTACGTAATTTCTCCTTACAGGGGATATGAAAGGTGAGGTCTATCCATTTGGCATAGTTGGGATGGCCAACAAAGGGGATTGCCTGCAGAAAGGGGAGAGTGTCAAGTTCCAGTTATGTGTCTTGGGCCAAAATGCACAGACTATGGCCTACAACATCACACCCCTGCGTAGGGCCACAGTGGAGTGTGTGAAGGATCAGGTAAGTGGTAGTATCTCTGGATCTGAACTTGATCCTTTTATGAGTTGGTAAACAAGTGTTAACCAAAACCTTGAAATTTTTTCAGCCAAGGAAGAACCACCAATATTCACCTTGGTTTTTATTTCTGCTCCACCCCTTTTTCACTGATTTGAGGTAGCTTGTAAAAATATGAAGAAAACCACATGAAGAAAATGGTGATATGAGCAAAAAGAAAGTTAAGAGTATTACTGATAACTAACATTACATGACAGGGAAAATAAGTTTGGAGTGAGATTTTTCAGAATAGAAAGACTGTAAGATTTTGTGTACTTTAGCTCAGAGCTGCTTTTGCAGGCCACACAAAGAAAGCAAGCATGTGTGAAAGTGTTCATAAAATACATTTAGGGCAAACAAAACTATTCCTCATATTGAGATCTCAGTATAATTTTTTGCTTAATTCAAAAGCTCCATATACTATATGAAGACACAAAGCGACCTTTGTTTCAGTCAGGCTATGATAGATTGAATAGCAGTGATTTCAAAGATAGATTTCTTCCCTGACAGTTTTTCGGACCCATATGCTTTTACTTTCTAGCACAGGCAGCTAAACTGGAGCATCAGCATTAATACCATGTTTTATAAATCAGCTTCTAGTTAGGGTCAGGCATTGTGCTTCATTTAGAGTGAGGTACTTTTCCCCCTTGTAATGTGTCCCTTTTTTTTCTTTTCCCCCTTCCCTCTTCCCCCAGTTTGGCTTCATTAATTATGAAGTAGGAGATAGCAAGAAGCTCTTTTTCCATGTGAAAGAAGTTCAAGATGGCATTGAGCTACAGGCTGGAGATGAGGTGGAATTCTCAGTGATTCTTAATCAGCGCACTGGCAAGTGCAGCGCTTGTAATGTTTGGCGAGTCTGGTGAGTTTGTTGTTGTTGGGCTGGTAAACTCCCTGGACTGTCTTTAAACTTCCATAAACTCTGGTTTATCACACTTCTTCACTTTTTCATCACTGCTTTTTTTAATCCTGCCACTTTCTGGTTATTTCTTGATCCTTCCTGTGTCTTTTTTTACCTTGAGTCTTTTCATTGTCTAAATTTTGAAGTCTTTTCAGTCTGGCCCCATGAAATATTAATTGGGTACTTTCTATGTATTAGAACTTAACTATAATAAGATTATGTAGTCCTTGTTCTTAAAGGATTCTGTTTAGCTTTTTCTTCCATTAAGCCATTTATATGCTGCTTAAAATTCTAATTTATAGTTTAGCAATACTGTCTCTGCTTTTTTAAAGGTTTTAAATCCGTAACATTACCATGAAAGGAGCTGGGAGTCTCTTGAAATATTTCTTCATATTTAACTTTTCTAAGGTTTTTCACATCCACTACCTCATTTTATGTGTCTATGGAACTGGTTTTTCTAGTTGCAGACCAGTCCAGGGATGACCCTCACCCAAATGATTCTTCCAGTTCCTCCATAGTAATAAACCTTGAGTTGGGAATAAAACATAAACAAACTTGTCTGTCCTGTCTTGCTAGCTAGCTGGCTAGATGAGGCAAGAGTCCCCCCATTAAAACTGAGTCATTTGGGTAGTTAGAAAACCTACTCCTCTGCAGGTACTTGCTTTCTTCGCACCAAGAGTTGTTTCTTCTCACCTCTTGACTTCATTACAGCGAGGGCCCCAAGGCTGTTGCAGCTCCACGACCTGATAGGTTGGTCAATCGCTTGAAGAACATAACCCTGGATGATGCCAGTGCTCCTCGCCTAATGGTTCTTCGTCAACCAAGGGGACCAGATAACTCAATGGTATGAGAGCATACAAGGTTTTGGGGTGGGTAGGGACAGCTGACAGACCAGTATGCTATTCAGGGTCCTATTTCGGCATAGCTCAGAGCTTAATGAAGCAGGCAACTTCAGGATTCTCTTTCAACATTCAGTAGGCTTATAGTTAGTTAAAACTCCCTACACATTGGTTCAGCCCCTAACAAAGGTTGCTCACAGTAAGAAGCACATTTCTTGGTCTTCCTGATCTTTTGGTAGATTTTAGGTAGTAGATCAGGAGGGCTTACTATGAATTTCCTCCTCTGGGAAAGAAATACGGTGGTGGTTACAATGATTGAAAGTAATGCCTTTATAGTAATTAACTGCAGTTTTACTTCTTTTCAGGGATTTGGTGCAGAAAGAAAGATCCGTCAAGCTGGTGTCCTTGACTAACCACATCCACAAAGCACATCATTAATCCACTATGATCAAGTTGGGGGGATTCTGGTGAAGGGTTCTGAATATCTCCCTCTTCATCCCTCCCAAAATCTGGAATACTTATTCTCTTGAGCTATTACACCAGTTTTAACACCTTCCTCGTGTTATGTTTAAAAAAATAAATAAATTTAAGAAAACCATTTTAAAATTATGCACAGTTGCAGCCTGGAAAACTTAAGGTGGCGCCTTATAGTATCAATTTTAGGAGCTTTATTTGGTGCATTTAACGCAACTGGTAATTGCAAACTCCACTTCGCCTGTGTAAGTGAAAAATATAGACTGTTATCTTGTTGGCTCTATGAAATTCTGCACTTGGTATTTAGCATATACTCTACCTTCATTACTATCTGGCAAGATGTTCTGCCTTAGCACTCAGTTGCGTTCTTTTCCTTTTCTTTCCTGTTCATTATGCTTTAATCCTGAGGACCATATGAAGGTAGAATATATTTAAAATTACAAAAATTATAAAAATTTGTATAGGCAAACCATTTCCTTAAGTTGGTGGCCAAATGTTAAAATGTTATTTTTCATATCATTTATAATCTTGTCACAGTCCACTTAACGAAGTTTGGTTAGATTTCAGTGAAAATTATCTTCCAGAGTAGTTTCTTTTTTCCTGGGATTGGGGAGGGGGGTAATTTTACTACAATTAGTATGTATGGTGCAGAATTTCATGCAAATGAGGTGTGCCAGCAGTGTGGTAATTTAATCGTATTTAAAGAAAAACAAAACAAAAAAAGACGAATGCACAAACTTGCTGCTGCTTAGATAACTGCAGCTTCTAGGACCCAGTTTCTTTTACTGATTTAAAAACAAAACAAAACAAAAAAAAATAAAAAAGTTGTGCCTGAAATGAATCTTGTTTTTTTTATAAGTAGCCGCCTGGTTCCTGTGTCCTGTGAAATACAGGCACTTGACCCTTGGTGTAGCTTCTATTCAACTTTATATCACGGGAACGGATTGGTCTGATTTCTTGGCCCTCATCTTGAATTGGCCACATCCAGGGTCCCTGGCCAGTGGACTTCATGAAGGCTTTGTCTAGGATGACAAGGGCAGCTCAGGGGATGTGGGGGAGGGCGCTTTTATCTTCCCCGTTGTCGTTTGAGGTTTTGATCTCTGGGTAAAGAGGCCGTTTATCTTTGTAAACACAAAACATTTTTGCTTTCTCCAGTTTTCTGTTAATGGCGAAAGAATGGAAGCGAATAAAGTTTTACTGATTTTTGAGACTCTAGCACCTAGCGCTTTCATTTTTGAAACGTCCTGTGTGGGAGGGGCGGGGCTGGGCGCGGCCCGCCGCGTGACTCCTGGGTCGGGGGCCCACGTGGCCGGGGCGGGGACTCGGGCGCCCGGGGCGCCGACTGATTACGTAGCGGGCGGGGCCGGAAGTGCCGCTCCCTAGTGGGGGCTGTTCATGGCGGTTCCGGGGTCTCCAACATTTTTCCCAGTTGTGGTCCTAAATCCTTCGGAAGCGGAGGCAGCGGAGCTTGAGGTAAGGCTCTGTGGTGTGTAGCGTTCGTCTTTGGAGCATACAGGCGCCTCCTTGTTGTCCGGAATCGAACGGAGTCTGCAGGCTGGAGACAAAGGCCGTTCGGCGGGGGTCCTTCGTTTTGAGCCCTACGGGGGAGATCTTTGGGGGCTGGCGGGGGTGTAAGATGAGGGTACGGCCCGGAGGCCGCCCCACCGGAGCTGAGGAGACTTGAGGGAGGAGTAGGAAGAGGGGTTTCCTTTACCTTAGGCTGAGGGCGGGGCCCACGGACTGTTGAAAAATAGAGCAGGGTGGGGGTAGCCAGGCGACTAACCATAATTCTGAGGCCTGCAGTAACCTGCGAATGTTCTTGTACTCCTGAATCACTTTGAGAACCGAGTGGAGGGTCACGTGTATGAAACCGATACATTTCAAACTCAGGCTTTAGTTACTATTGATTATAGAAGGCTTTGAAGTACTGTAGTTGTGGCTCTCCCATTAAACCTAATTGCTGCTTTCCCACAGGTTCTTGCTGGTGTGAAATGACTGAGTACAAACTGGTGGTGGTTGGAGCAGGTGGTGTCGGGAAAAGCGCATTGACAATCCAGCTAATCCAGAACCACTTTGTAGATGAGTATGATCCCACCATAGAGGTGAGGCCCAGTGGTAGTGCGCTGACCCTACCTCTGGCTTTTGGTCCACCCTTACACCTGTCCTTCAGCTGTTCTTTAGCTAAAGGAATAATCAAGAGAGAAAGTGAAAGTTATTTGGGGTACTGCGTTCAGTAACACAGTAACGAAGCTTTCCATGTTTGTGGAGAAGAGTTCATTTTTATTAGCTGCTGAAGTTTTTTTCTAAAAAACTGACAATAGTTCAGTAAACTTTTGCATACTCACTGTTGAACTCCTATGACAGCTCTATTAAGCACAGGCCATAGGAAGAGTGACTGAATAATAGGATGGAGATAAAGGATTCAAAGATCTAGGTGTTCTTCAATTTTAATTAGCTGGCTGAAGCAGCTGAGACTGGGCTGGAGTAGAATATGAGATTTTGAGTCACCGCCTAGATTTCTTTCACTCCCTGTTTGCTGTTTACTTAGTTGTGTTATGTTGAGCAAATCACTTAAACTCTCTGAGCTTCGTTTTCCTCATCTATTAAATTACCATAAACATGTCCTGCCTATCAACACAGCGATGTTGAAAAAAATCAGTGTAAGTTTTTTTTGTGAGTTCATGTTATAAATTGGCTTGAATAATGGCATCTAAGGTCCTTTAAATAAAAGGTTTTGTTTATTCAGTTTAGAAATGTCTGACTAGAGATTATTTTATTTTAATCCACACCCTGGTCTTCCTGCCCCCACCCCCAGCCACTGAGTGTTTAATGGAAGCTAACTAACATAGCCATTATTAAAAATTAGTCATTAGTCCTTGCTTAACAGCTTTAGTATTAATAGTTAGAACCTTTTAATATTTTTCTGAATTTTATTTACTGAAGGATAATGTACATACAGTAAAATACAAAAATGGTATATCTACAGCCCGGTGACTTAAAAATTTGTATGTACTTATGTAACCACCACTCAGAAATATAGACCGTTTCCAGTGCCCCAGAGTGTTCGACCATGCCACTTTCCAGTCAGTAAACCCCACCCTGCCAGGAAATAACCACTTCTCTGACTTCTGTTACTGTAAATTAGTTTGACTAAAACCTATCTTTATAATTTTAATTGTACTCATTTCCTCGGAACATTCATAGACTTAATCATATTTCATGCTTCAAGTAAGTTTTGGCAATGCGAGTTCTATGTTAATTTGAAAGTATATTACAGTCCCACAATGAAGTTGAGTTACAGAGGCACTGATCAATGAGCTGGGAAACCAAGTCACATTCTGTTTCTGGAGCCAGATCTTTACCAAGTGTGATGGGTTATTTTCTTTGAACTGAATTCCCAAAACATAAATATTAAAATACAAGTAAAATTTTTGCCTTAGAGCCAAATTAAAAACTTTTAAAATATAAATATATGTGATTATGCATGTTTTTCCTCATGAGGAATTATAACTGTATACCTTGTTTGGGATATTTAGGAATTTGATTCAGGAATATTTCCCAAAGGTAAAATTTCACCATGATGAGAAAAATATATTTGTGTTATAATCTTGTCTGAAATAAAAATTATTTGTGTATTTAGTCATAAACACAAATGACACTGTATCCAGGGCCAGGTATAATTGGTGGAGGTATGTTTAGAACTTTAAATGTACAATAAACAAGTAAGAAAAGTCTAGTTCATACCTTAGTAAAATACACTGTGAAACCTAATCTCTAGTCTAACTGCAGTAGAGCTGTCTTTTGAATTACCGCATTTTTTCTCTCTTTCCCAGGAACAGAGTGACCACATTTTCCTTTCTGCAGGCGTATAGGATTTGGGGCTTTTTTTCGTAGGGTGACATTAAGTACTTTCTGTTTGTGATTATATATGAGGAGTTTGAGGGACAAACCAGAGAGATGGAAATAAACTTAGGTAGGAGCTTATCTGACCTTGGCAATAGCATTGCATTCCCTATGGTTTCTAATAAAAATGAAATCTTCCTCTCTCCCTGCCATCCCCCACCCTCCGCATCCCCAGGATTCTTACCGAAAGCAGGTGGTTATAGACGGTGAAACCTGTCTGTTGGACATACTGGATACAGCTGGTCAAGAGGAGTACAGTGCCATGAGAGACCAATACATGAGGACAGGCGAAGGCTTCCTCTGTGTATTTGCCATCAATAATAGCAAATCATTTGCAGATATTAACCTCTACAGGTACTAGGAACATTATTTTTTCTGAAAGGATGATCTATAAGTGTATTCTGAAGCTTTGTGGGGGGATGAGGATACCACACTAGGGAAGATAGCGTTTTTAATTATGAGAAGAGTTGGTTTCACATGGTTTAACATTGAGGTTTGGGATTATAACTGAAAGTTAATATTGGAATTTATTTTATATAATACACCATGGCTAGAACGTGTGATGATATATAAATGAAGCTTGCTAATGGGATGATTCAGAACCAGAGGTGGTGGTATGAGAGATCACACAGGAATTTCAGAGAGGAAAACATGTCTGAGAAAGAGTCATCAGTAAGTCATAGAAGAGAGAAGATGATAGGAAGAAACGAATGGGGAGTAGATAAAGAGGAAGGATGGTCTTTCTCAGTAGAACCATAAAGTTTCAAAGCTCAATCAAACCATAAAAAATTCTAGTACAACATCCTTGTTTTACGGAATCAGAAGTAGAGCTGCAGAAAGTGATTTTTTTAGGTTTTTGGAGTCATGGTTGTTACTAGTAGCAGATCCAGGCCCAAAAACCCAGGACTCCTTTTTCTTAGCTCCATGTTCTTTGAGCAGAGTAATACAACAGGTTGAAACTTGGCTCCATCATCTGTTACCCATGGGACTTTGGGGCAAACTACCAAATGTCTGTGCCTCAGTTTCCTTATCAGTAATATGGAGAGAATAGTACCTACCAAAAGTTATTTTGAAAATTAAACAAGTTAATAAACATGTTAATCACCCAGAAAAGTTCCTATCACGTAGTCAACGCTATGCAGATGTTCTTCCTACGGCCTGCAGTCCTGGATTGTGCTCCATCCATACGATGATGTCTGCTCGCAGAAACAAGCTAGTCCAAAACTGACTTCGGTGGGGTTTTTTTCCATCTAAACCTGCTCTACTTTCCATCTGCTCTCTGGAAATAATAGCAATATGTAATAAAATGTCCAACACTTGTCAAGCATCTGATATTTGTTGAATTTCCAGAAGTCGTTTTTCCTCTTAGGCTGTCTTGTCTTACATTATGCTTTAAAATTGGCCACTGCTTGGCACCTGGGTGGCTCAGATGGTTAAGCGTCTGCCTTGGGCTCAGGTCATAATCTCAGGGTCCTAGGATCGAGCCCCATGTCGGCTTCCCGCTCAGAGGGGAGTCTGCTTCTCCCTCTCCCTCTGCCTCTCCCCCTGCTTGTGTGCTCGCTCTCTCTCTCTCTCATGAATAAATAAAATCTTAAAAAAAAAATAGGCCACTGCCATTACAGCAAAGGTCAGTGCTGCAGACAGCCAGTGTGACATGGGTTCAGCACATGACTTCGTGTGTGATCTGGGGCTAGGGTCGGGAGTGGTGCTGTGCCGTATGGTGGCCCCAGCCTTGTGTGCTTATTTCAGTTAAAGTTAAATAAAACTGAAAAATCAGTTCCTTGACCACATAGCAACTGACTTCTCAAGTGTCCGGTAGCTACATATGACTAGCGGATATAGTTGGACAGCACGGATGGAGAACCTTTCCATCATCGTGAAAAGTTTTATTGGACAGTATTCGTCAAGAAAATCTAGAGCAATTGTTTCCAAACTGCTGTGTGCTGTGTCTTCTGTGTCTCTGAAGGGAGTGCTGTAAGTTGGGAGTTCCAGATCCTTCAGTCCCCTTTAGTAAGAGCAGGTCTGGTGTTTTCTGTTTTGTATCTTGGACTTCCAGCTATGATACTGTTGGAAGAAAATGTCTGGACACCACCCACCTAGAGAAGTGTCTGTCTTTCATTAAATACTGTCACTCTCAAGAAAACCTCAAAAAGTTGTTTTGAGGCACTAAGCTTTACTTTTTATACTTCAGATCCTAATCTAGAGTGTGATTTCAAGTTGCCAATTAAATCTGGAGCCACGCTCTTTAGTGAATCAAGGAGCCTAACAAGGGTATGTGTCAAAAGATAGAATTGCCATCCATTTCCACTGGAAGGTGAACCAATACTTGGCTTCCCTGTGGCTGCTGCATTAAGTCTAAGCCAGTCTACCTAGTATGCGTGGTCTTTTATATTTAGTGGGGGGATAAGTGAAACTCCATACTAGAAGCTAATAGGGCTAGATAAAAGTCATTAGAACCTTTTTTATTCTAGCCGCTCATTCCTTCCTAAAGACCTACTCTTAGGTTATGATAACATACTCCTTTCTTTTTTTTTTTTTTTTTTTTTTAGGGAACAGATTAAGCGAGTAAAAGATTCAGATGATGTACCTATGGTACTAGTAGGAAATAAGTGTGATTTGCCAACAAGGACAGTGGACACAAAACAAGCCCACGAACTGGCCAAGAGTTATGGGATTCCATTCATTGAAACCTCAGCCAAGACCAGACAGGTATAGCAGAGCTTTGAGCATCTGGCAAGGGTTTGTTTAATGCAGAGAAGTTTGACTGCAAGAAATAGGAGCCGCATTCTTTGTTGTTATGGATTTTCAATATTCTATTTTTTTAATCTTCAGTTTAAACCCAAAATGAGCTGATGAATATTCTGCTGTGGCACTTTACTCCCACCTTAACATGCTACTATTACTAAATATTACTAAAATGAGGACCCTTGATTAAAGATAAGTACAAACATTAGACCTTCCTCCATCAACACCAGCCAGTGTTTTGGGCTTTAGCTCTGCTGAATGGAATCTTTAGATCTGGTAGTTCTGTATGTCCCACGTTACCCATTTTTCTGTGCTTGAACGTTATTTTTGCAGAATATGCCATTTGTGTATCAGCCTGTTGATGTGATTCAGTAGGAATGCTAAGTTTGGTGTCCTCTTCCTAAATCACCCTATTTCATCAGCTTGTTGGAATTTTAAATCCACTAAAGAAGTACAAATGAGAGAGCTTACAACTTGGATTGTGTCTATTAAGCCATCCTTATCATGTTCTTTTATAGGGTGTCGAAGATGCCTTTTACACACTGGTAAGAGAAATACGTCAGTACCGAATGAAGAAACTCAACAGCAATGATGATGGAACTCAAGGTTGTATGGGGTTACCGTGTGTGGTGATGTAACAAGGTGAGCATGTGGTCTCCTGACATAATTATAAATTTTGTTATTTAGCATCAGGCAAGTTGGAGGAGATTGCTGTTATTTTTTCTGTACACTTATAAAATATTTTCCTTATGGCACCTTTTCTGAGGGTACTGAAGTCTAAAATGTTTTTAACGCATTTAAGTAGACTACACCTGGGTGGCTCAGTTGGTTAAGCAATCTGCCTTTGGCTCAGGTCATGATCCCAGGGTCCTGGGATCAAGCCCCACATCAGGCTCCCTGCTTAACAGGGAGCCTGCTTCTCCCTCTCCCTCTGCATGCCGCTCCACCTACTTGTGCATGTTCTCTCCCTCTCTCTTTCTGTCCCTGACAAATAAATAAATAAATAAAAGCTTAAAAAAATAATAAAGCATTTAAGTATTTTATAGACATTATTACACTTTCAATAATATTAGAAACTAGAAGGTATTATTATGAAAAGTACAAATACCGTACCATATTTTTGGCACTGATTAGGAGTTTGAAGAATCACTACATCAAAACTCATGACATGGTGTGTGTTCTTTTCTTATAGATACTTTTAAAGTTCTAGCATCAGAAAAGAGCCACTGTCAAGGTAGGACAAGTTTGGAAATGAATATGTTATCGTTCGTGTTGATTTCTTGACCTTGTTTTTCTTACATTTTCTATATGCCACTTATACAAATTCTGTCTTTATTTTAGCTGCACTGACACCCTGGTCCTGACTTCCCTGGAGGAGAAGTATTCCTGTTGCTATCTTCAGTCTCACAAAGAAGCTCCTGCTACTTCCCCAACTCTCAGTAGATCAGTACAATATTCTCTATTTGAGAAGTTCTCTGAATAACTACCTCCTCACTTGGTTGTCTGACCAGAGAAATGAACCTCTTGTTACTCCCCACTGTTTTTCCACCCTGGGTTCTCCCCCAACACACACAAACAAACCTCTGCCATCCCAGGTTTTTCATCTGAAAAGTAATTCATGCTCTGAAACAGAGAACCAAACTTGTAGACATGAAATTCTGTAGGAAACAATGTCTTGAGCTCTAAAGTAGCAACTGCTGGTGACTTTTTTTTTTTCCTTTTTATTGTTGAACTTGGAACTATGATGGTTTTTGGAGAAATGTCATAAATTACTGTTTTGCTGAGAATATAGTTAAGTTGCCATTTGGTTTGTTTATAGTATCATTGGCTATATTCTATAAATTGGCATCTCCTCTGCATTCATAAATTACACAAGTGAATACTGACTTTTGAGTCTATCCTAGTGTTCTTGACTTTCACATAATTAAATCTAACTCGCAGCAAAGTGCCTTTTTTTTTTTAGGAGTGATTTGTAGACTTGATTTATAATATTTCAGTGGAATAGATGTCTCAAAAATCATTATACATGGAAATGAATGTCTGAGATACATCTATGACCTGTCTACCTTTGAGGGAAAGACTTACCGATGTGATAGCAGATGCCATTTCTTACATGTATGAAGTTGGATTTCCAGAGACCTGATTTGGGTCTCTTCCAAGAGAAAGGTGAAACTGGAAACAATTATGAATAATTTCACTTAATTTTTACCTAATTTCTACTTTTTTGGGGGGGTGGGGCAGGGGGTAGGTTACCACTTACAAAGTGTATGCAATTTGTTTCTTCTAGCTTGCTGATAATGAACTTCCATTCATATTTAAATTTAGGGCATATCTGAAAGCTCTACATTTGCAGGTGTTTGAAATTGTAATAGCTGAATGTAGTTTTAATAGCTAAAATTAATGATTTTCAAGTCTCAGATGTATTAACAGACACATTTTCACTGTATATCATGGTATTTTAATGATATATATAATTGCCCTCATTCCCCTTCTCACCCCACCCTCTCCCTCGTCCCACCACAATGGCGGCTTGCTTATTTCAGTTGAGTAAAGCATGGTGCTGACAGACCTGGGTCACAGTTTCAAAACTTGAGCAAGCCAGTTAGCATCACAGAGAGAGAAATTCTTCCACGTTTGCTCATTGCACCAGTAACTCCAGCTAGTAGTTTTGCCAGATGTATACTGTTAGTCCTGCAAGGAAGGAAGAGGTCAGTTAGCACAAATCCTTCACCATGACTGGAAAAACTTGCCATCTTGAGGAGGGTCAGCCTAGAGGTTTTTATAAATAAAAGTATATAGACTGTTTTTAGCCATGTGGAAACTCTGAATTAAACCCAGTAATTTTTTTCATTATTTTGAGAATTTTGAATTTTTTATTTTCATTCTTTTGAGAAATTTATTTTGATGCCTCATCAAAATTTTTTAAAATTTTCTATATTGATAGTGTTCTTTGAAGGGTGCAAAACAGGATGTTGATGAATTAGTCTGTGCAAACCAGATAATAAGCTGATGAGTTTGTTCAGAACAAGAAGTCGCCTTTCTGTTGAAATTGCTGTTTGAGAAGGGAATGGAAAATAGAATCAGTTGTTAGTTATGAGGGTTGGAGGTAGGGCTTTTCCATTTGCAGATAATTTCATGGTAATTCTAGTGAAAATTAGACTTGGATAACTTCTGATAAAAGACTAGCTCCAAAATGGCCACTTTCTGTTCTTGTCTTCTGATGTGTAGATACTTACTGAGGTCCTCCATCTTCTAAAATGAGTTTTCCTTTAAGTAAACTCCACATTGCCTTGAAATGAATTCCGAAGAGGGGAAGAAACATAAGACTGTGCCCAGAGTGGAATAAACCCAGAGAGTTGTGTTCCTTTGCGTTAATGTTTTAGAGAGCTTTCACATACTGTCAACACCTGTAAACAAACTCTGCTGCTGTGTTTGTGCTCCTGTGGAACACCGCTCTGTAATTTTCTCGAGGCTAGATTGAGGCTTGTCACTTCCATCCTTGTCATTGTCTTCCACCTCCTCCTCCTCTGCTCTGAGTGACAGTAGGACTCTTTTTTTTTTTAATATCAAATTTAGGAAAAAAGATACTCATTTTAGCCCTTATATGGCTGTACCTTTAGTTTTTTCAAGTATGTTCTAAGCACAGATGTATATCTAAATGGGGCCAGAATTCAGACTTGACAATGTTCTATTATTTTAATAGCTTCTTAAGAAGTTACATGTAGGTGTGAATTTTGGCACAATAGAGTGACAAACTTACAGTTAAATGCTGAATAACTTCAGTTGGTGTGAAATAAAGTGTGGTTTTTAGAATATGTTTGTAATTGCTGAAAAGAATTCTAGTTTACCTCAAAATCTGAAAAGTCTCTTTCCCCCAGTCAAGTGCCTGGCCAGCTATTATGAATTACATACTACTTTATGTGTGTTTGTGTTTTAAAGGTTGCTCCTTCAAGAGTGTGAAAATGTTCTGTCTAAAGGCTACCATGCCTACCCTGTAAATGAAACTGTTAAGTGCTGTATTTGCTCCAGCAGCATACTCTAGAATGTTACTTGGTAATATAATATCGTACTTATTACAGTTTTCACTTTAGTGTAATAGGTAAAATTATTCTCAGTATGTATTTTAGTCGGCCCATGTTTAGTCTTTCATCATCCTTTAAACTGCTGTGAATTTTTTGTCTTGACTTGAAAGCAAGGATAGAGAAACACTTTAAAAGAGATATTTTGGTTTTTTCCCATTCCAGAATTTGTGAGCATAATCATATTTTGCTTTACATTTACCGTCATGAACTCTCAAGCTGGCAGCTACAACCAAGAACCAAAAAATGGTGCATTCTGCTTCTTGTAATTCATCTCTGCTAATAAATTATAAGAAGTGAAGATAATTAATTAGGGAAAATATTTTATTTAGGTGATTTCTGTAAGCAAGGGACTATAATTGTACATTATTTTTCATCTTTGCTGTTTCTTTAAGCAGTCTAATGTGCCACAAAATTATTTTTAACGTTTTTCCTGTAAGAATTTTTTTAAAAGTGTTCTCATTGTCAGACTAGTTGTAGATATGTTTCAAAATATAACTGGTGATTCTTAAAGGCCCGAGAACTGACCTAAGAAGCAATTGTATGAATTCTACTCTGGAGGGAAGGGAGGATCTCAATGGAAATTGTATGACTTTTATATTTCTGTGCCATCAAATATAGGTGAAAATACCAATTGTGCAATTCTGCTGTTTAAACAGGAACTATTGGCCTCCTTGGCCCTAAATAAAAAGGGCTGATATTTTAAGTTGACTATTTTATTGTAAATTAATCCATCCTCATTTTTTAAAATTTGGTTGAATGTTTTTTTTGTTAAATGTTTAAAAAATAAAAACTGGAAGTTCTTTGCTTAGTCATAAGTCTTTTTTCCACTGAAGTGCCTTTATTGAAAGTTAATATCAATTTTAGACTTTTGGATGTGACATTTGGACAATGTTTGGAAGATCCAAGTTCCTTATTTTATCCCAATATAAAATATGTCAAAGCCTGCCTTTAATCTATTACCTTGGGGGTGATTCCTAGCCATGACCCAAAGCTACATGCCAAATTCTAACATATTAATATGAAGTGCTTGAAACTATCTTTGGAAATCTTTTGTCCTATTTTTGCATTACTGCACGGTCTACCAATATCGGTATCATTAGAAGAACATCAGTGTAGGAGCCAAAGAACACGGGTTCCAACTATAATTTTAGGGTGTATTGGTGTATCTCAAATTCCCAACCCTAATTAAGGAGATGTAGTTATTCAAAACAAAAGAACACAAAACAAAACAAACTTTACACCTGGGATTTTCCACCTAACACTAGCATACTGTGATTACACGGACCTTGGTTTATTTTACCAGACATCATTTTTACTTTTTTTTTTTATTCTTATGTTAATCCCCATACATTACATCATTAGTTTTAGATGAAGTGTTCCATGATTCATTGTTTGTGCACAACACCCAGTGCTCCATGCAGAATGTGCCCTCCTCAATACCCACCACCACATCATTTTTACTTTGATTTTTCCTTCCAAAGAGGACAAGGAGAGATATCATTAGTATTTGGCTGAATTAAGCTTGAGGAAAACCAATGTAAATGGCAAATTACTGTTTCTAGATAAGGACTATTAGGAAATACAAACATTTTAGATAATAAAATGTAAATGAAAAACAGAATTATGGGCTTTGTATATCTAAAACATTTCCCCCTTAAGTCAATCACCTGTGCCTACTGTCATTTATTTCCTGCTAATATTTGATCCCCTCATAACAGAAAAAGGAAAGGAGGAAAGGATGTTTTCTGGCTTCTGCTGATGGCTGCTATTCTGTTTGGCAAAGTGAAGCTACAAAGAGACAAATGATGAAAAAGTAGCCTAGGAAGCTTGTTTATTTGGAATATGTGGAGCCCTCCCATGCATCTCTGTGCTGTTAAGATTTCTGTTCTTAGAACAAGCAATACTCAAGGTCATTAAAAGGCCAACATAGTTAGACGAGTTATTTGATATCCATAAATATGGGTAAAGGGGCCAAGAGGCCACGCTAGTGATCATTTTGCAAAACTGCTAAAGAGACATTTCAGAGAGTGTCCAACTCCATGACTTGAGAGCACAGGATCAATGTCCAGTATCCAAGTGGGAAAATACGCTTTGTATTGCTTTAAAAATAACTCTTGGCAATGAAATGTGGTCAATAAAAGCAAACCGGAACTCTAGGAACATACGAAATACAGGAAACAAATGTCTTTGCAGTGCCAAGAGGGGCAATAAAAGGTCAGATTCATGAACTGGAAGTAAACTTCATGAATTGATCATTCTTATCTGGAGATTTTTTGTATTCATGATTTACTTCACACTTGCACCAAAATAGTTTTATTAACCTACTGCATGTTATTTTTCAACTTAAAAGAATGAACTTAGTCTCTTCTTAAAATAGTATAAATTATAACTCCAATATAAATATAGCGTACAGCCGATTTGTGGGAGTGTATAAAGAGGTAGTACTCACCCAGTGTTGGGAGTTAAAGTGATGGGAAATGTTTCTAAAGATAGAGGCAACTTTCAGCCGAGCTGCTACTGGGGGAGGACGGGGGAGGATGTGGTTGGAAGGGAGCCGTTGCCTCCTAGAGCCTTTAAGCGCAGGAGCCTGAAATACCCAGCTCAGGACAAGAAGTCTGGAATGGGTGCTGTGAAATGATACAGTTGGCAATGTTGACCCTTTCTGTAGGAGCTACAGATGGGTGTGGTACGTGTAAGATTTAAGTCTGAAAGAAAACGTGCATGTTATTTTATTTTATTTATTTATTTATTTATTTATTTATTTTTAAAGATTTTATTTATTTGCGAGAGAGGGAATGAGAGACAGAGAGCATGAGAGGGAGGAGGGTCAGAGGGAGAAGCAGACTCCCTGC